TAGACTTTGCAGCAACTTTGAGTTTTTGTTACTTTTTTTAATATAAGAAAATTCAATCTTCTTCTTCAACGAACAAATCAAGATAATATAATTATTTAAATGCTCAAATGTTTCTGTGAACTTTTTCACATTAAAATAAAAATTATGCATGAAATAAGTTATGTTAAAATGATACACACTTGAAAAACAATAAAAATATTCATGAAAAATGTGTTTTTTGAATGTGAAAAATCTTTTAATTTATAGTGAACCATGCACCTCTTGATTTTCAAAATAGTTGTTGGACAAAACTTATTAACAATTGTCATGATTATGAAAAGGTTTGAAGATAATTAGAGGTGAAATAACAATGCAATGGTTCATTAGTTTTTCAATTAGAATAGAAGCTAATCGATTAACATCTATAGGGTAATTGATTATCTATGTGATAATGTTCAAAAATATTTGAAATTTGGAAAGGTTAATAGATTAACTTGACCTCCTTACTAGGGTTAATCAATTAGCCTCATAGAAAATTCAAGATTTGCTTTAAATAGAAGACAAGTTAATCAATTATATTAGGTAATTCATCGATTACCTTAGTACCGACTTATAAAATTTTCACAAATAAAAATGTCACTTTTGTCATTTTGAATATAATGTATAAACTAATTTTTCAATTTTTTCTTTGAACATTTAATGTGCTTAACCATTAATTTAAGTATTGTACCAATGTTTATGATCCAGTATTAGTAAAATACAAATTTTGACATAAACTTAATACTTAATTCAATTTTTGTCTTCTTTAATATTTCTTTTTCAGTTTTTTTTTTCTATCAAAATCAAGCTAATAATTATCAACCTATCTTTTTTAGAATTGTAATGTCCATATTTTAGGTTGTGGATGGAGAAAAAACACTAATATATGAAACTCTATATTACATCAGTTTTTAAGTTTAACATTTTAAAAACACCCAAAAATTGCAATCTCTCTTTTTCTCATCCAAACTAAATGTAAATTATTGCAATTTATTTTTAATCACCAAACAATCTATCATTAATATTTAAATTTATAATGTATTTGTAATTTACATAGTATTATAAAATCTTAAAAATCTTAAGTTAGTTGTCATGATTGTTGTCATTTAGAACGATACCGAAAAGATCCTTTCGAAAACACAATGAATACATGAATGGATCGTTCAAGAACCAACATGAATACTTTTAGGATGAATCATTCTAGGATAACAATAATTAGTTATGTTTTGCACATGCTTAGAAAAACTCTTATCTTATTTTTTATTCAAAATTAAAAATAAATGAGAGATGCATATAAATATTTACGACACAATATGATATCCTTACACGCATTTATTCACAAAAAGTGATAGCACATATATAAGATTGATTGAGGCTAATTGTTTAAGGCTCAAGGTTTGTAGTATGAATCAGGGCAAACATCTCATGCTCATGGTTCTCCTCTGGAACCAAATGGTATTGGTAGTTCTCAAATGCGATACCAACATAAATACGAGACATGGTAGAAGGCACAATAGTAGTCGGATCATTCAGGACAATTTGCATAATTTCAAATTGTCTCAGTACACACTAAAGTTAATGAGAGTACATGACTCAAATCCTAAAGGTTAACCATCATGAGTTTTAACAAATATTTTATAATGGTCGTGTCTGACCTTAATTGACTTATGGAGAAATATAAAAAATATTATCCACCAAAGTAAGGTCAAAAGTATGTCTATATGTGTCAGCAGTGGTATATCCCCTATGCGGACAACACAAACAAACCTGAGACAACTCGGTCATATTTAGTGACAAGTTCTTACAAAGCGATAGTTGGAAAAATTGCAATATGTAGGCATGAAAACATGTTAAACAAACATATTATGAATTATATAAAAAAAAATATTAGGTTACACAAATATTACCTAAAAAAAACATGTGTTTTCTGGCAATCGCTATTAGGTTACACAAATATTACCAAAAACATTATGAATTAACATCACCATACTGAGAGTGCAATTGAACCAAACATGTCGCTCAATGAGAGGGCTTATGAATATTGTCTACATTTGTGTAGTATTTCAGGTACATAACATTAATATATGTTACACACTTAACCACAAAATAATAGTGTCAACCAATTGTCAAAAAAAAAAAAACCAAGATGGCACAAAATTTGTGTTATTATCTAAACAATAGATGATTTTAAGGGACTTGCGTACAAATTCTCTAGCCATTTAAGTCTTGCATGTCATTTTTGCGTCTGAGTAATTTTTAATTGGGTCTCTTAAGGATCCACTCAAAACTCTTCAACCAAAATATCCAATGCCTCATATCTATGAATTGTACAATGGTCTAATAGTCAACATTTGATAGACAGATGGAGTAGACGTGACATATCATTCAGGGTAATGATCATAACACTAGTAAGGAGATGAAAGAACGATGTCTTAGAGTGTCTTCTCTCATTAAACACTAACACTAGTCACAAATCTATATATGCATATCTCATTTGTGTAATATGTTTCAACCCAATAGCATTGGTACATCCTTAAATCACATCTCATTAATCTACACCAGATTGAGGGTCCATTTGTTTTGTCTTTTTTAAAAATTATTTTTATAGTGTCATAGACATGTTTGTTTTGCCTTTTTTAAAAAATGATTTTTGTAGTGTAACATAATTTTGTGTAAAAAAATTTTACAATAAAACTTTTCATAAAAATTTCTAATGGAATTTTGATTTGAATAGTTATTCTTAAAATGTTATTTTAGATATTTCATAATTTTATTGAAACTCTTTTTGAATATCAAAATTTCAAAAAATCACTTTATTTGAACCTATTTCAAATAGTTTTTTATAAAAATAATTTTTGAGATATAACTTTTTTAAAAAATTGTGATTTCAACTATATATAAATCTTCAATAATATATGTTTATGTTATAGGATGTCAAAATTAATCTTTTAATTTAGAAAAAACGAATATAAATTTTTTTAATTATATTTTAAGTAACAATTTTATAAAATACAAAAAAAAATCTATTTTTTTAAAAGCGAAAATAAACACGCCTATAACTTTATGTAAAATAATAAAAGAATTTCTTTTATAAAAACATCAAATAAAAATTTAATTTAAATAGTTATTCTTAAAATATTATTATAAATATTTAATTTTTAAAAATTAAATATTAAAAAAATTAATTTTAAAAATATTTTAAATAAATTTTCATAAAAATTATTTTTAAAATAAATAAAACTCTCATTTTTAATTTCTTAGTGTGTGTTTGGATCCAACCCATTTTTTTACAAATGATAGCTTGGCCCAATTTATTATATTTTCCCTAAAAATAAAATATTTATTATTTCGTTGGTTTCTTCTCCTTCGTTTTTCTTCTATTCTATGGAATCCACCCTCTCTTTTTTACATTTTTCACATATCTGAATTCTCTCTCTAAGCTTCTCCATCTTCTCTCTCTTTTTTCCACCGATAACCGTTTTCTACCGATTCTCTTCCTTGTGTCGCCATTCTCATTACTGATCCGCGTTCTCGATTCTGCTCCGATTCTTATCCTACGCGGTGAGTTTTGTTTTTATTTCTCTTTCACTGCTCGGTTTCGTTAATTTCCAATTCTTCGTTTTGATTTATTTCCTCTGGTTCATAGCTTGTAAGTAAACTCCAATGCAGTTTGAATCACGTTATTCTTTTTTTTTCTTAATATGATCGGTTGTTTTTTTCGGTAGAGAATGAAAACTGAAAATTCAAGATGAGTTTTCATCACTGGTTTGAGTTGGAGCAATAGTTTATTGATCTATTGCAATGAACAAAATTCGATATTGTATTTTTGAATTATTCCTAATCAGATTGTTTTCAATGTGAATGTGACGTTTTGTTGACATATGATTATTGCAGAGGAACTTTTTTTTTTTTTTTATGGATTGAGTATTCTGTTTTTGTTTTTGTTTACAGTGATGGCTTGATTTAGGTTTATAGTGAAACACACAGGCACACATCGTTTCAGCTTGTTGAGAGATGTTTTGAATAAAAAGTGATTATTTTTCAGCTAATCCAAAGGAATTTTAAGTCTATAGTTTTTATTTTCTCTTTTTTAATTTATATGTTCTCTAAATTGATTTTTGGATCTGCTGGTCAATAGATTTTAATTTTCATGGGTAGGTTAAATGGAGGAGTCTAAGTTGAATTCATAGTAATGATATTTTATAAAAGTAAGGGTTTGCCTACACCAAATTTTTTATGGAACAGTCTTCATGGGTAGACTCAATGAGCAAATGCGATGAAGCATTTTTTGTTAGGGTCAATGTTGTTAAATAGAGGCTCTAAATAGAGGCGCTATAGCGCTATTGTATTGAGGAGTTTGAACAAATCGTTGTTGTTCTGCAGTACGCTGTTTATTACAAAATATAACGAAATTTGAACAAACTGCTATTTTCTGCAATCCACATTTGATGACACTGGTTAGGGTCTGTCATGAGCGAATTGAAAGGCAAACCTTCAAATTGGTTGAACTTGAAGTGATTTTTTATTGTTGAGTTTGCACATTAAAATATTATACTTTTTCCTAATTTTGTACTTTCCAAGTGCACCTGCTGTTGTTTTGATGTTTAAGGTGGTAATTAATTTTTGAAGGAACTAAAATTTGTATATTATTTTTGAGTGCAGCTTATCACCTGTTTTCCAATACACCGACTCAATTTTAAGTTGATGTAATCATGATAGATCAACTTTGTAGTATACAAACGATATCACCAAGTCAGCAGGAGTTCTAAAGGTACACGTTGACATACTGCTTGCTGTTTGTGGACCACTTCTACCATGAAAAGTGGATTATTGGTGATATTAAATGCTTCATGCTCCATTTCAAATCTAAACTACATATTCAAACCAAGTTCCAACACAGTGTTGACAGTTAGATGTCTCTTCATGGAATATGTTCCAGTCTCTTTGAAGTGTTATTGGCTATAGTGTTATAAATTTTGAAAATGGAAAGGTTAGTTTCTTCTCATCTATTGGTTTGAGTACAATCGTCAGGCTCTCAATAATGGCCCCAGATTAATTTATTTCACGTTTCTCTTTTTCGCTAGGTATAAAATTTTGAAAGAGCTCGGACATGGTTCTTGCGGTCATGTATATAAAGCCCGTGATATGAGAACTTTTGAGATTGTAAGCAACTTTAGCCAATTAAGAGTAAACTTTTAAACTTTAGCATGTTCGTGTACTTTTGTTCTTCTAGCAATCTGGTATAAGTTATCCTTCACTGTGCCATGTTCATCCCAAAATAACTGTTTTTAACATTTTTCTTTCTTTATCTCTGTATCCTCAAATCTTGTATTTCAGTTTTCATCTTTCTCTTACAAAACATGGTGGTCCTTATTCCCCCGGAGGAGTGTTAAATGGGCTAAAAGAGCAAAGCTTATATTTTGGGCAACCCATGTATTATCGCCAACCCAAGGCTGACCTCCATTAGCAATTCTATTATTCAACTGACACTATCCTAATTCAATTCTAATAGTTTAGTGGTTAATACACCATGTTGGGAGGAGGCAGCATGATGTCTTAATCACAAATCTATTTGATTTTGAATTTGGATGGTGTCTATTGAACAGTTGAGTTTACTATGAAAGGCAGCCTCAAATTGGAGTGCCTTTTGCATGGCCTCTCCCGTTGGAATGTAGGACCACTGTCAAGAAACACGATAACTCCCCGTGTTCTGCATGATAGCTAATAAATTTAATGTCATAATAGCTCTGATAATTTTAGGTCTAGAGCAAATTTATAATTTGTTTAAAGTGAGATGTGTCAATGGATATTTTGTGGGGGAGTGCAATAAAGATAAAGGTGTTATACATTCATACATACATTTTTTATTGAAGGTCGAAATGGATATCCCAGTTTTGTTTGAATTATAAAAGCATGTTTTACTTTCTGTCTCCCCCCTCTCACGAGGTGGTGTTGTTCCAATGTTACATTTTGGAATATCTTTTTGACGTTTATGCTCCTATTCTTTTATCTTATCTATCAGGTTGCTGTCAAACGGTTGAAAAGAAAATTTTGCTTTTGGGAAGAATACACAAATTTAAGAGAAGTAAAGGTATGTGCTATAGTAGATTTTTTGTACTCAAGGTGATTTTCACACATTCTTGAATCTGCAATAAAGATTTTAGACTTTATTTGGTTTGAGAGCTTTTTTTTTTCCTTTCATTTTCTATTTTCACTTTCAATTACAATTGTCACCATACTTTTGCTTATGCTTCCTGCTTTCACAAGTTTGAATAGGAAACATTGACATCAATTGAAAAGTTGTATCCAAAGCAATTGACTCTTATTTGAATGTTGGTTTGTCTCCACTGATGTGCATTGCATTTCTTCTGCAGGCCCTCCGTAAAATGAATCACCCAAATATCATAAAGTTGAGAGAAGTTGTTAAAGAAAATAATGAACTCTTTTTAATTTTTGAATACATGGTAAATACATCTTTATTGTTAAAGTTTTATTTATTCCTTCGTTTAATATAATTTATATATTACATTTAAGTTTCATCGCAGCATGTGAAGTTATTTTTAGTTATCTTATTTTTTTATTGACATTGTTTACGTCTTTTATAGTACATAGTGATCAAAATGAAGAGGATTATATTATCTATTTATCTTGTAAATGTTGAGGAAAAAATTGCTCAGAGAGGCAGAATTGTAATTAGGATGAAATGATATAATCCAAGAATTCTAGACAACAATAATGGTTGAAGAACTACCTAAACGACCTACTGATATAATGGTTTGCTTCCATTGACAAAAACCACTTTTATAGCCTAAAAAATAGGGACAGGATAATTTTTTAAATATTAATTTGGCAGAAAATAACGTATTTTTAGACGGTTCTCTGTGTTGCATGCATATTTACTGGAAATATTATTAACTTCTATGTAGTTTATCCGTAATCCTCCAATATTCAAGCTTAAGGTTGGGTGGAGGTTTGGATTGACTCTTGCTTTCTCAGTAAGTGCTTAACACACTATTTTGTCTTTCAGGATTGTAATCTTTACCAATTAATAAAAGAGAAAGAAAAACCCTTTACAGAGGAAGAGATACGATGCTTTATGAAGCAGGTGCTCCATGGACTTAGTCACGTGCACAAGAAAGGATTCTTTCATCGGGATTTAAAACCTGGTAAGGCATATAATTTCATTTAGCCAATTTCTAATGGCACATTGTGTTTATGATTCCAGTTCAATCTGTCAAAAAGATCATGATCTGATAGGAAAGTTTGTTCTATTCAGAAAATTTGCTGGTGACAAATGATGTTCTTAAAATTGCTGATTTTGGACTGGCTAGAGAAGTATTATCAATGCCTCCATATACTCAATATGTTTCCACACGGTGGTGAGTTGTGTTCTCTCATGTCATCTTTATTAGTTTATCTTTTTCAACTTTGGATGCAACATTAGATGTTTTATAGACTATTTGTATGTGCATGTTATTTTAAAAGATTTCTTCATCACATCATCAACTTCATCACATTTTGTTTTGGGAATTCAGGTACAGAGCTCCTGAAGTTTTGTTGCAGTCCGCATGTTACACTCCTGCTGTTGGTAGGCATTAAAGTTGTTTTTTGGATTATTTTACTTATCTACTTCGTTATTAGGGGACATTTGATTAAGCCTTTATCTCCAACCTTTTGTAGTGATATTAAAGATGACTTATTTGTAGATAAATCACCTTCTCGATCCCTTTTACAACTTCATTTTCTAGTCAAAAGAACTTCAAGTTAATGTCATCTGTGCCACACATTCAACTAAGACAGTCAGACTGCAGTTATACTGGGCCACATATCAAATGCTCACGGTCAATTTGTGTCACTAATTTAAATTAATTAATGATCCAGTAGAACCTATGATGGATAGCCCCGAGTGCAGTACCCAGTACGAGTACGGGTACAGTACGGAATACGACATTTAAAAAAAAGTTACGGGTAGATTAATACAAATAAGATTTGCGTCAATAAAAAATGTGTCAATAAAAATGTATCAGTAGAGAACTAAATTTTTCAATTCTCAACATAAACATCACAATAAAAGTTTAAAAAGTAAAAAATTGTGTTAAGTTACAATATCCAAGAAACTAATATATATAAAAGTGTATCACAAATACGGTAAGTGTACTCGGTGCGGGTACTTCACCATTTTAGAAGTACCCATGCTTCATAGAGTAGAACCATCACTTTCTTTTGCCTTTTTTTTTGGGTACACTTTCTATATTGTCGAACTTGTTTGCTATTTATGCTGTCACTCTAAGATGGTTTGTCTTCTTGTGGCGGTGAATAACAAACACGTGATTTTTTGCAGACATGTGGGCTATTGGTGCTATATTAGCCGAGCTTTTTACTTTGACCCCCATATTTCCTGGTGAAAGGTATCTTAAAAGTCCCATGTTTTCTCTATGGTTGCATGCTGTAGTGATGATGGCAAGTCAAAGTCATTTACGTTACCTACTTGTTTTTTGTGCTTTTACACATTTAATAAACTATTAATTGACACACTGTTTACATTTGAATATGTATGGGAAGCCATTGACATTTTTCATTAAAATATAAGAAATTTTGATTTTGTATTAGAGAAAGGTCAATTTTGTTCATAGGTCTAGATAGAATGATCTGGAAATTTGAGTATCAAGATCCAGGAGGGGGAATATTTTATAGAGACATGTTTTCACTTTCAGCAAGTTGAAACACTTTGTTAAGGCATAACAATGAAATATTCACGGTTCAGGTTTTCAATAGCTAATTTACTAATGGACAATATTGTTTTATGACTTCATTATATATCTCAAGGTGTTATCAAATTCATATAAAAAATGTCCTTGAATTTTGTGGACTTCTTCAAAATAAATAACTATATGGTTTTTAGGCATATTATCTTGTAGATTCCTAAAAATGAGCTATTGGTTTTTTTAATCACATCTTATAAAATTAGTTTTGTCCATTTACAGTGAAATAGATCAACTGTACAAAATATACTGCATTCTTGGTATGCCAGATTCAACTTGTTTCACCGTGGATGCAAACAACTCTAGGCTATTGAACTTTGTAGGCCATGGAGTTGTAAGTATTCATATAGCCTTAGTATGCTCATGTAATATTGTGTTCTCGTCTTTTCATTTCATTAATGCATCCTGTATTTTTTATTGTTGCGAATGTTCTACAGGTTCCGCCTATGAAGCTTTCTGATATCATTCCAAATGCTAGCATGGAAGCTATTGATTTGATCACAGTATGTTTTGGTCAATAGCATCTGCCTGTCTTCATAATGTCGAATACAAATTTTTTTTTTTTACTGTTTTAATTCATGTCGAATTGTGATATATTTTAGTATCTGCTCCATTGTAAATTCTGCAGCAATTGTTATCATGGGACCCATCTAGAAGGCCAGATGCGGATCAGTCACTGCAACATCCTTTTTTCCATGTAACATTTTTTTTGAAGCCTGTTCTATTATACTTAAGGTCTCCAATTCACTAACATATACTGAACAGGTGCATACAAGGGTTCCTCGTTCACTCGGTGATCCACTTGAGCTGAAGCTGAGTAACAAGAGTGAGAAAATTTCTTTTTCCGTTCCGTGTCATATCTTTAATTGGAGCCCTTTCAGTTTGTTAGATAACTACTATGTTAAAGGCTGATTGTGCTGATAAGTTTTTTGACTCTAGTGCTTATTGCTTTCTTTCTGCACTGCTCTCAGGGGCAAAGCCAAATCTTGAGTTGAAATTGTATGATTTTGGCCCTGATCCCGATGATTGTTTTCTTGGCTTGACATTGGCTGTAAAGCCCAGCGTTTCAAACTTAGGTATAGTATCTTAACTATTTATTTTAATAAAATGTAATTAATGTGCTTGGCCCAAGTGATCGATCTCTTGCACCCAATTTAAGTAGAATAGTATGTTTGAAATTTCCTTGTTTGCATAACAAATAAATTGGTCTTTTCAAATTTAAGATTTATGGTGATTTCTTGATCACTCTCTGAATGTGCTATCTTGAAAGTTAGGTTGAGATGCCTCATTTGTAATGCCAATTGCACACATTGAATGCCAAAATTACATCCTACACTAGAAGTTGGCTAACTTTATTAATTCAATTTTGATTTCTTGTTTATTATTTTCAGTAAATGATAAATAATAATCTTCATGTCCAACCATGCCATTAACTGTGGTTAACCTGTGCATGACACCCTCTCTTTTTATGATGTATACAACAGTCTTTGTCATCCAGAATGATGTTGAAAACAGAACTACCTAGACTAATGATCTCATTCTCTTTCTTTGAAACTTGCTGTGGTATGTTATGAAAAGAAAAAGTTAAGGTTTCTTTCTTTTAGAAGATTGATTGAATTGGTGAGAGTCTAATGAATAAATAGTGGTCTTTGGGTTGAATATTGTTTATATAAATTTGTTATTTGAAGATGCTAAATGAAGCGGTATTCTTGACAATTGACATACTAGAGAGCATGTCAATTGTTTGAATTGTGTTATTTCCTCCATTATTTCAAGGGAGTTGTTGAATTTGATTTTCTTAATACTCACACGGGAATATGTCATGGCTTCCACTGAAACCCTATCACTGACCTGTATTTGTTTCAAGTTACAATTTGTTCATAACTATTTTCATTTTCTTGTGTCAAATCTAGGTTCTGTTTTTTTAAGACGCCCATACATAACAGTTCTTTTGAGATATTTTAGCTTTTTCCAATATTAAATCTTCTTCACTTGGTACACTTTGCAACCCTGATCCCATTTAACGGAGTAAGACTTGGCTGTTGTCGCTGTAGTACTTTTTGCAACCCTGACTGTTGTTCACATTATAACTTTCTCACTTTCTCCTGCAGTTCATTCAATAGTAAACATTCCTGACCATTTGATTATTGTCATTTCCTGCAGATGTGGTTCAAAATGCATCGCGTGGTATGGGAGAGGTTGGTGTACGGTGCTGTATATCCAGCAGCATACCATATTCCATTTTTTTCTTTGTTTTGAACTCCTTCCATTATATCTGTTTACATCTCATTTGACTTAATGCACTATGAAAAATGCAGAATATGCTATTTTGCTCGAATTTTAATGATCATCCAGATCAATCAGGTGATTCTTAGTTTCTTACCTTCTATTTCGCAAAGAGATAGCTTATAATTTTGATTTTTTTTATCAATCTTGATTTTTTTTTTCTGGAAGTCTTCGTTCTGTTTTCTAATAAATGAACTATGTTACTTCAAAAAAGAAAGTATCATATATACAGCGGAGAAATCCTTCTGTATATATAAAGGATAAAACTATGTAGGGGTAGAACATTAAGAACTTACATGGAACAATTGATCCTCTTGCCATAAAATAGAGAAGAAAACAGCTGAACCATATATTTATTTGAACAACTGTCACAAAGGTTTTCATAAATCAAATTAGACGAGGATCATAATGAAACCAGGGCAATTCTATATCTCGATTCATTGCTTTGTTTTTTGTTTATGGCATATTAGATTTATTTTGATCTAATATGGTAAATGTTTGTTTGAAGATAAATGTAAAAACTCTGTCCAATACTAATAATAAGATGCTCAACTTCTTGACCAGATCCTTTGTACTGTGATGTCATCTGATATTGTGAAAAAGTTTCTAGCCGAAGACATGTCTGTTTATGTAATTTCTGCATTGATCAGATCCTATACACCTAGTAGTTTCAAAAACGCAAAAAACTACCTGTTTATTTTCTATTCAATGTGCACATAGAGCTTCGTTTGAACATTAACAAAAGCACCATTATGCTTCAGGGAGCCAGAAGTCCTTTTTTTTTTTATAGGGATAAGCAATTGGTAAAATTCTATTAAATGCTTAAGTTGCTCCTACAAAGCAACAGTCATAGCAATTTCAATAGGTGTTTCGTGTGTAAATGACGGGATTGCCATTGGTCATTTGTGTCGAGGGACAAAATTCTACTCCCTTCGTCTCAAATTAGGCATCCCCTTTGAGTTTTGCATACTTTCTTAGATAATGATCAATTATGCTGATCACGACAGTCAATATCGCGATCCCACTTGCATGGTCGTACGGTCTTGTGATTTTGTGAAGGCAAAAATTTGGATTTGAGTGGAAACGCTGTGGGATTGAGCGTGTCTGCCATTTCTGTTCATCTTCCTCAAAATTCCAGTTTTACGGGCCGGGTTTGCAACCCGGTTTTGTAACAAAGGTTAATGAAGTTGTTAGTTGAGTTGAAATACAATAAATTAGAGTATATTAATGGAGAAAATTAATAAATGCTTCATTGATATTTTGATTCTAAAGGGACAAATAATTTGCAACAAAAAATATTGCAAAAGGATACTTAATATGAGACAGAGGAGTAACATTGTGGAACTACTTGCGGATTCTGTGACATTTTTCTATTTGTCTTTTGAAATTTTTCTGTTAACTTTCAGTTTCTTTTCACTTGATATGATGCTAAATAGTCCTTTTATTGTGTGATCTAGTTTTTTGGTCATTATTACCTCCTGATCAGAATGGAGTTCACAACTCGGCAGAGACTTCATTATCATTGTCATTTGGGTAAGGTCTTAAACAAACCCTGCATTTTCTCATCATACATGCACAGTATCTTAATGTCATTATAATTGTATAGTTTATTTTTAATATTTTAATATTAGTGATATTTGAGGAATAGATATCTCAATGATATTATTGGTCATAAGGTAAAGTAGAAGTATAAACCAAAATTATGTTTTGGACTTTTTAAATGATGAAATTTTAATTGTGATCTGCTTTCATATCAGGAACTAAATGCTTCATTACTCCATAAAAATGTTACCTGTTAGAGTGGATTTCAACCTAGCACTGCTAGAGATCTAAAATCCACATGAAGAATATGAAATATGCAATTAAGATAAAAAATTATGACAAGTGATTCAGTGATTCTTAGTGCTTGTGATAAACATCTTGGAAACCATCAGAATGAGGCTCAGCCGCCTAGAAACACTGACAGTTCAACAGTAGTATTTTTTTAATTAAGCAAAATGACGCCTTTTGTGTTTGATATGATAGGTGGACAAGTAGATCAGTGTAAATATGCATAATAAAAAGTGCTGCAATTTATACTATTTGATATATGCATTAGTTTTTGTTAACCAAACAAACTGAGCCCTCAATGCATAATTTATCGTTATGCTTCTTTTGCATTGGCTTGTCTTGACAGATCTGTTCAACACCAGCCGATTGGAATTCCACAGACAGCGGGGTTTTCTTTTCAGCCTTTGCAGCCTAACATCTTAACTACACCATTTTTGACACCGCCTTCTCCGTTCCAGCGCCGACATTGCCTTTGAATGATTGTCCGAGCTTTGATCAATGCTGCAAGATCTTGAGTCTCTTGATAATGCATCAAACAGTTTTTTTTTTTACCGAGGTTAATTGTTTGTACAGCTTTGTTTAGCATTAAAAATAGTTTCACTCTCACATTATCATGAAATATGTGTATAAAAAGATTTGATCTCATTGGAGTTTGTACCTCTTTTGGGGCGTCAAAATAATTCCAAAGGGAATGTAACCCTAATATATAAGGGTGCTACTTTCCTCTCTAGCCACTGAAAACTTCTTGTTTTTTACTGGATGTGTACATTATAACTCATTTGAAGGCGTGGCACTAGTCAGCGTGAGTTAGGTTTTGCTAGGTCAGCATATGACCTATAAAGCTTAGGTCTAATCAATAGTTTGTCAAAGATTTGATTCGGACCTTCTTTTTATAAGTCTTGTATGATTTTTTATTATTAGGAGTCTTAGCACAGGAAAACAAGGAAATTACAAACGAATAGAATGTGGAGGAGAAACTTGAGCGCTTTCTGTTAAAGACAAATACATATCGACTCCAACACTTTCTATTAATTTCAAATACATATCGATAATGGGCATTTTGCTTTTAATAGGAAGTTACTTTTCTTACCGTGATGCCCTTTTATCCCTGTGAAAAATGGATAATGCTCCTAAAATTTAAAAATGTGATTTTGAATGCGTTTCAAATTCATCTGTAAGTGAATTATTCCTTTATTTTGTTGGATTAAAAATAGTTTCGAAATTTTTTAGAATATAGTAAAATATGCTTCGGTGGAAAAGTATTCTACTGAAATTTCCATTCATCAAACATCAATTTATGCGTTTTAAAAATTGTATCTTTAAGGGTATTTTTTATTATGTAGAAATCTTTTGAAGAAAACTTTTTTTATCATGTCTATAATTTTTTTCTTCTCTTTTTTACCCTGTATTTATTTGTTTGATTGTTTGTTTCTAGAGTTGGATGAAGTCATGCATGTATTTAAAGAAAAAACTTTTAAAAATGGAATTTTTTATCCTACCTTATGGGATAGAAAAACATAATATGGAAAATTCTAAATGTTTCTCACTTTTCGAAAATATATCTTCGGATACATATTATTTTAATTTAAAACGTAAAATGATCTGGAGATTTATCTCTGAAATATTTTAAAATAAATGACATACGTCCATCTATGAAAGATGTATCTCCGCTTACGAAGATGCATCTTCATATCTATCAAAACAGTACAAGTTGAGTTAGTTTTATAGTTACTCAGATTAAAATGACGATTTATAAATGTTAAGGTCTCTGTTATGTGATGAGCAAAAAAACCATACAAGCGATATGCAAAAAATGATATATAGCAATCCAAATGGTCAAAATAAGTCATCATCGATACACAATGATGTCAGAATACACAATAAAGTCGAAATAAGTCAAAGTAAAACACAATTGATAATAAATTTTCAAAGTATAAATACACTACTGCGTATTCCAGATTACAACTCCTCGGGCTCTTCCTTCTCCCCTGCCCCCGTCTTCCAAAGCTTTCTCCGGTACATCAATATCTCTCGTGCCTTCTTTATAATGGCACCTAAGACCTCATTCACCTCATAACCATCCAAAAAAGACTTTTGTTAATCCCTGTCTGCGCAATCTCCACAATGCAACTACATCTAAGCAATACATCATGAGAATGATCTAACTGTGTATGCTCATCTTATAATATCTCCTGATGAGTTGGTCTTGGTGGATCTCTTGGAGCAATCTACACCATATACGAATGTGACACCCTGAAGAACTACCTGATGTACCCGTCGACATAGCTTCACTCGCTCTCAGCTTTGGTACTATGTGCCTTCTCTGTAACACCCCAAATTTAATCGGAATATTTTAATTAATTTATTTAATTGAGAATATTCATATTTTGGGTGTTTCTGGTGATTTTCGGTGTTTTGTGGAATTATTGAGAAATATGCAATTTATGGGTTATTTATTTAATTGATAGTAGATAATATTAATTTATTAATATTATTATGAATGAAAATAAATATAAGAGGAATAAGGGTAATTTGGGCAATTGCAAGGAGTAAGTGAGGGTATTATGGGAAAAACACAATTGTGTGGCCCAAGTCTAAGTTTGACAAAATAGAATTCTGAAGGTTGATGATTCATTTTGTTAACCGTGAAAAGAATGAGGTCAGAGCTCTGAGGAGGGAGAAGTGGAGGCAAAAGCTTCGGAAGATCCCGAAGTTAATCGTGAAAGCTGCGAATCGACTAAGGTATGGGGAGTATCGCTTTTCATGGTTTTCTATGTATGCCTTTATATGTGTTTATGGTTGATTTGGGATTTAAAGTATTTTGGGTTGATTGTGGGAAACTAGGGAATTTGATGATAAGGCTTTGAGATTATGGGTAATGGTATGTAACACTGAATATTGATATGAGAAAGGGAAGCCTTAGGCCTTCGTGACCAAACCCTCGGGTTGTGATATGTTTGACCCTGTAGGAATAGGAAGGTTCAGATGTGAGTAACTCTGATGCACTCAGAGCAATTGCAGGAAAATAGTGATTTAGGCAATGCAAGTGTTGCCAGATTAACCTAATAAACTATAGATTTTGTGTCGTTATCGCCGTATGATCTTAGGGATGATTTAGGGATGTTTTGGGGGCATTGGGTAAGTGAATCATATGAGTATTTGGGCAAGAATCAGTTCTGGTCGTAACAGGTTCTTCTGTCATCGCCACAGACTCGCCTAGCGAGCAAGCCAGTGAAGACTCGCTACCTACTCGCCTAGCGAGCAAGCCAGCGAACGTAGCAGAGTTCGCGAATGATTGATCGTGTGCAGCAATGCCTTGATGTTTGATTCTGAGATTTCTGAGATGAGTTAACATGAGTATGACAGTGAGGAATTATGTGATTGATAGGCTATAGTGTGAGGATTGTCGCGGGTATAAGATGATGAATTAATATGTGATAATATGGGATAATACTATGATGTAATATGAGATGATATGGGATAATATTATAAATTAATATGAGATAACATGGGGTAGTATTATGAATTAAGATGTGATAATAGGATGGGCTAACCTGAGGATGACTATGAGCTAATATGTGTTTTGGACGTGATTATATGACGATTTATATGATGATGATGATTGTTGTGATGAATTATGTGATAACATGAGATATGATGATTTATGTGATGATGATTATTATTATAACGAATTATCTGATAACATGATATATGATGATTTATGTGATGATGATTATATTGATGAATTATATGATGACATGACGTGTGAGGTTAATTATTATGATGAATTATATGACGAAATGAGGTGTGATGATGAGTTTATGATGTGTTGTAATGACATGATGTATGATGATGAATATGATGAATGATGATGCACCTATGATGTTATTATGAGGATTATTATTGTGACGTGTGCATCATGCATTCATGTGCATCCGGACTTCGGTTCAGGACCTCGATTGCTTTGGCTTCAATCCCACTGTGTGGATGTGAAGTATTTTGATGTGCTCCGATCCTATTGATGGGGATCTATGGAGGGTTGATGGCCCAGTGTCCATCACGCTGTGATGATTGGTACCACATGTATTGGGTTGTGTTGCATTGCATTTATGAGCCTTTGTGTATAAATTATGACGTTGTGGCCTTCGAGGCCTATTGAAGGATATGAATGTGTTGAATATGAATGTGACGTCGTTTATGCATTAATTGTTATACATTGATTATTATGAATTGTTTTACTCACCCTGCCTGTTTGAATGTTACCTCCACGTGGGTAACATGCAGATGACCGAGTTAGCCGTGGACGCCGTCGGAGAGTATTTTGAAGTTTTTGAGTGTTTTAGTTTTTTGGGTCAGCTTAGAGGGTCTTGCTCTGATATGTAACATCGGGTTGGGTCCTTGAGTTGATTTATACCATTGAGTTATTTTGCTAACTTTCCCTTATGAGGAGAAACTTTGATTTATGCTTTGAGTTCCGCTGTTTATGATGTTTTGATGTATTTTGAGAAAACCCGTGTGTTACGGAGCATTGACTTATTTTGAGACATTGAGAAATGTACGCCCTTTTGTGGCTTTTTATGAAAGTTAATATTTTACTCTGAAATCCGTGTTATTTTGCCGTAATATTTGTGGGGTAGAATAAGGGTGTTACATTCTCTAGTACCGTATGACTAAGATGATCATCAAACATGACATTCATATCTATACATGTCATAGCATAAAGAGCATAGCATAAAGAGCAGAGACAACATGGTGTCTAGGAATAATCTGAGTGTAACCGAACTGCCTCATGACGTGGTTAGGAAGATGACGAAATGTCAGACGTTTACCAAAAGCCAACCATTCCGAGTATAACAAGCCGAAAATGCGCGGAAAGTGTTGGAGGATCTAAACCTGAAAAGTGTTAGAACACACAAATCATCAGTAAGGGCGTTGTAAAATGTAATTAAAATGACATTTAAGCACTAAAAAACCAGTAAATATTATTGTCATAAGTGTGGTGCTGTCTATAACCTACTTCGTCTTCTACCTACAGTCCTCTGATAACTTAGAGTACAACTAGACCTAACAAGCGGCTCCCAGTTGTACTAATGAATCCTCTCAAATTCCTTGAAGTACCGTAGGTAGACGACATCCACATAAGTGGCACTGTTGTGCAAAAAAATGACTGTGTCAACGAAATATAATAGATATGATTGCATAATATACGCTCTATGTAACCACACCTGCTCGTTATCACCTCTAGTCTGCTCTTCTCTAAGGAGCTCATATGTATATACCTTTTTCAGGAATTCATACCTAGCATGAGCCCCTATGGTATTTTCCATCTCCCTTAAGGCAGCCTCTGAGTCAACTCCTAAATAGTCTACCATCAACTCAAGTGCCTCATCTTTGTTAATCCTCACATGATCTAAGAGTTTCTCCTTAATGAGAAGATGCAGCAGACACAACAGATTATCGAGTGTGATAGACATCT